GTCACAGGACATTTCAGGACATAGGTTTTCTGTATCATTTATAAACAGTAAGTAATTTGTGCAGTGATATTTTCTAAATCTTTCTGCCCTTATATCATGATATCTGCCATAAGAAGCTGTCATTACATTTACAAGATTTCATCATAATATACATCATTATTTGCTTTCTCACTGGATGACATCCATGAGTCCAGTAATATTGAAAAATTGTTCTTTGACTGAGTTGAGCTTTCTCTTTCTTTTTTAGTTTCAGTTGATATCTTTAGCCTTGTTTTAATTCCCCCCAAGGCATGGGTGGGTTCCTGCCAGTTCTAACCTGTTCTATAGAAGAGGTTCCACAAATCTACAGTGCCATTTAGAACTGGTTCCAGCTCCCCCCCCCCCCGCACATCATCAAGATGAAGAGCGAGAGAAGGAATTCTGGGAGTTGAAGTCCACAAGTGGTAAAGCTGTCAAGTTTGAACACCCCTGGGGTTTTTTTCTAAAGGGTTAGGGGTGCAAGGGTCTTGTAACCTGACAGCTTTAAGACTTACGTGCTTCAAATGCCAGAGTTTCTGAGCCAACATTTTGGTTGCTAAGCAAGAGCGTTGTTAATTGAGTTTCACCATATTTTACAAGTTGGCCACACCCACCCAGTCACATGGTTGGCAAGCCACTCCTACCCAGTCACATGGCCAGTAAGCCACTCCCACAAATCAGGCCACACCTACAGAAGAGGTTCTAAAAAACTTTGAAACCCACCACTGCCCCAAGGTTGGTCATTGTTGTCAGCTATCCTGTTATGTCCAATTCTTGACCATTCTATGGATCACCACTCTCTATGCCCCTCTGTCTGACATTGCTTCCTTCAGATCTGCCATCAACATCTCAGTGTCATCCTTTAGAGTATCCAGCTTGTTTCCACTGATAACTCCTAGCATAGTTGACTTTTTGATTGACTCAGCTCGCATGATATGGCCAAAGTATGATAGCCTTTGTTTGGTAGATAGGGGTGGTATTAAATTAATTGGGTTGTCCTGGATTTCTATTTGGTTCTTCCCTAACAGATAAGAAGGATTCTGACACCTGTCATTTTTCTATTTTTGTTTGAAGATCCAATTCTAAGACATCATGTTTGTTTGAAATAAAAGGAAAACTTATTTTACTTACAAATCCTTTTCTTGCAAGTGTTTTATCTTTGCTTGTTTGGTTGATTTCTGTAAAGTAAGAGAGTCCAGGCTGATGACATTCATGTTTTTTTTCTTTTTCCAATATCATTCAAAGTCCTTTATCTTTTACCTTTTACCTTTTACATTCATCTCATGCAAAATATTATAAGATAAATTTAAAGTAAAGTCCCATTAAAATTGCTAAAAACTAATATAGTTAAATTGGAAGGAACTGCAAGAAACATGTGTTACTGAGTTGATAGCTCCCCCACCCCAAATATTGTTCATATTATTTTAATGTACTAGAAAGCTGCATAGTTAAACGAGAAATAAATTAGGTTGAGATCTTGCTATTTTTGCTATTGAGTGTTTCCACTGTGAAACCCTAGAGTAAATGAAATGCACATGTCAGGGCCTTTCCAATTATTTTCCACATAGGACCATCATCTATAGCTATGAACTGAGATACTGACCTAATGTACAGATGCAAGCTTATTGCATAATTGCTCTATGTTGATATGGTAATTCTTGGTCAAATTGTATTATAAGAAATCAAGTCCAACAGATGTGGATGTCCAGAGATATCTGATAATAGTTTGGTAGATATGTCATAAAGAAATTAGTAAGTAATTAAGTCCAAAGTTCTCTGTGCCTCAGTAATACATAATTATATGCATTTAATCTGATACTTCCAGCAATATATGAATTTGTCTACTCATTAAACCCAGCACGAAGACATGATCAAGGCTGGCTTAAGTTTCTGTTCCCAACACTGACTGATACATAATGTTGGATTCTAGGTTATAGGTATATTGGTAGTTGTGAACAGAGAGTCTGCTGCAAATTTCTGCAAGACCTGATTTTTTAAAATTTGCTCAGATTCTTCCATAACTTAAACTGGGCAAGGCTGCTTCAGTGTTGCACAAACTAAGCTATTTTTCTTACTGGGGCATGGAAGCGATCCTGTTTTTTAAAGAAAAGGAAATTCCTGTTTCTTTGATGGCCTTCTGACGTACATGAAGCAGCAGGCAGCAACAAAGCAACTTTGCTTTGCTCATTAGATGTGGTGAGGCAGATTATTCTATAAAGAAATTATTTCCTTGAGCCTTCTTAAAAGCAAGTCACCCATATAAAGCATAAGTGAATTTGCCCCTTGTTCCCTGTACCAGGGATGGGCAACTTGAAAACCCAAGATCCATTGCAGTACAACTAAAAGTATTTATTTCTTCACCACATAGCAAATGACCAAAGTTATAATAGGCATAGATTATAAGAACTGTACAATATTGCCAAGTAAGCCAAAATGTAACAGTAATAGGACATGACTAGTGGTGGAATTCAAATTTTTTTTTACTACTGGTTCTGTAGGCGTGGTGTGGCAGGCGTGGCATGGCTTGGTGGGTGTTGGTTGGTGGGCATGGCAGGGAAAGGATACTTTAAATCTCCATTCCCACCCCATTCCAAGGGAAGTTACTGCAAAATCCCCATTTTCTCCCAATCATCTGGGACTCAGGAGGCAGAGAATAGATGGGGGCGGGACTAGTTAGAGGTGGTATTTACTCAAAATTTCCACTACTGGTTCTCCAGAACTGGTCAGAATCTGCTGAATACCCCCCACCCCTCGGACATTACACAATCATATACTGTTCTCAATTGCATTTCTGGCGGTTGATTTATATAACACAACTGAAACAGGGGTGGGTTTCTCACCCCGTTCCAACCGGTTCGGTTGGAATGGGGCCGGCGGCATCCTCGTGCACGTGCGCAGTGCACACATGCGTACTAGCGCCTGTGCGATGCTCCAGCTGCTCCTGGAGGATCACGCAGGTGCTGTATGCGTTCTGCGCATGCGTGGAAGCGCAGAACTTGTCAAAACTGGGTAAGAAACGCGGGCAGGGCGGGTGGATCCTTCGGCGTTCCCGGAAGTTACTTACTTCCGGGTTCGCCGACCAACCGGTTCGCGGGGACCACCGCGAACCGTCTGAAACCCACTCCTGAACTGAAAGCAATCTGAGTTATCTATTGTACAAGAAGCACCTAATTTTAATGTCATTGGAAACTAATTTCATATTCAAAGCAGCTCCTCCCCCTTTTTTACTAAAAGAGGATGTTCAAATTTATTATTTCAAAAGTGACATAAACGATACCAACATCAATTTCCTTCATCATCTCCATAAGTTATAGCTAGAAAACCACTGTTAATTCATCTAGAATACATAAATGCATAACATTATAAAAGAGACTGCCAAAACTGAATGTCCTTGTCCTTCAAAAGAAAAAAGGGGAGAAAAAGAAAAGTTTCTTTGCATTAAAAAATACAGTAAATATCCCAATGTTTATTTCAACTCTGGTATTCTTCTGAAAATATTCATTGTCTCCATGTAGGGATTTTTCTTTTCCTGGCAAATTAAATAAAACCCCAGCTTTCCACTCTGGCACACTTGGAAAATGAATGGGTGAATAGGGAGACCTCAGCAATAGCAACCACACCAGTCATCTGCTCTTGAGTCAAATGATTCCTATTTCCTCATAATAGAATGAAGTTGCTGATACAGATTCATGTGAGACTTTTCTTTAATTGTCTAGTCCATATAACTCAGTAAGAAGTAGAAATAGAAAGGGGGATCTTTTTTAATTGTTGTTTTGTTTTTATGCTTTGAGTCACTGTTGACTCCTGGCAACTGCCTGGGAATTCCAGGCAACTCCCTGTGGTCTTCTTGACAAGATTTTGGAAATTGTTTGCATTGCCTCCTACCTAAGACTGAGAAAGAGTGACTGCTTGAAGGGCTACCCAGTTAGCTTTGGGTCTAAGGCAGCACTAGAACTCATTGTCTCCTGGTTTCTAACTGCATGCTTTAGCCATACATCAAAATGGCTCTTTTTATTCCATTAGATAGACTCAATTAAAAGTAAAGGTTCCCTTCGCACATATGTGCTAGTCATTTCTGTCTCTAGGGGGTGGTACTCATCTCTGTTTCTAAGCCAAAGAGCCAGTACTGTACAAAGACGTCTCCATGGTCATGTGGCCGGCATGACCAAAAACTGAAGGCGCACGGAACGCTGTCACCTTCCCACCAATGGTGGTTCCTATTTTTCTACTTGAATTTTTATATGCTTCCGAACTGCTAGGTTGGCAGAAGCTGGGACAAGTAACGGGAGATCATGGCACTGGGATTCGAACAGCTGAACTGCTGACCTTCTGATTAACAAGCTCAGCATCTTAGCCAATGAGCCACCGGATCCCTAGACTCAAAACACATCATCACATTGCAGATGTTCTGCAGAACCATTTTTGTTCACCCATGGTTTGGCAGAATCAAACCCCACAGTGCTTTAGTGGTCCAAAATTTCAGCTGAAGCAAAATTGGATGGGGAAAGTAGAAAAAGTTGGAATGCATAATCATTCTTTCTCACCAGCATCTACTAATGTGATGTATCTCATTGGTTTATTTATGTGTTATCTAAGAGCCAGTAAGATCATGGGGTACAGAGGATGCTGAGCAGAAGAACGGAATGAAACACACTTACTCTTGCCATCATCTTTTATCATTTTTCCCATTTCCCCTGCTGAAGCCTTTCTTTTTTGAAAAGCCCCAGTTTATTCTGTACATAGCCCAAAGTAGCCTTACTTTGGTCTCTGCGCCAACCAAATGTGGGAAACATGTATGTATGTCCAACTTAAAGCATCTGAAAGAGTTATTTATTGAATACAATGATTACCACATCCCTGCATTCCCCCCCATTTTTAAAAATGTTTTTAGATATATTTGAAATTCCACATTATAACTAGAAATTTTAGCTTTCTGTAGCTTATTAGTTTTCTTCTTTTTAATAATTTTTCAATACAATTAGTTGCATTTCTTGGATCCTATTTTCTTGCATGTTGTGGATCAAATCTTACAGTATCATCTGGTTGTATTGTTTCTTCTAATTTCCCTGGTCAATATGACAACAACTTGAACTGCAATTATTTCTTAGAGGCAGGACCTCAGGATGTTGTAATTCTAAATTTTGAAAATTTTGACCTTCAGTGTAAGTGGCCAAAATTGTAATTTTACATTTCACTAGTTAATATATGAAGATAAACAATCTGATATGCTGAATAATTTCATTTTTAAGAATCAAGTAGCATCATGATTCTTCGTGATGTAATATATTAATTGTATGTAAGTAAACAAAAAGAATTGTGATTAAAGGATACGTAATTTCATACCAAATTATTCTTCATAGTATTTTATCCATATGCAATCACTTGGCCGTCGGTAGCCTCTCAAACCCATGTCATAATTTTTATTAAACAATGGTAGTTCAATCTATTAAATATTTTTACACTAAGTAATTAAAAAGGATTTTCTCAGCAAACTACCTGGAGGACCTATGAATTTTAAATTACTTTTGTTTGGTAATAAAACTGATTATAGGGAAAAATCACAAGAGAGTGTGTGTGTGTGTGTGTGTGTGTGTGTGTGTGTGTGTGTGTGTGTGTGTGTGTGTACCAGTGGTGGGTTCCAAGTAGTACAGCACGGTACAGCCGTATTGGTAGTAGCTGGGAGCAGCTGGTAGGGCCCACCCAACCACCCGCATTCCATGGCTGTTTATAATGTGACCAGTCCATTGCGCATGTGTGCATAGCGTGTGGTGCCTGCGTGACCTCCGCCGAGCAGCTGGGTGTTGCAGAGTGGTGGCATGCACATGCGTGCACAGTGTGCGTGCCTGTCTAGGATGCCTGGCCCTCTATGCAGCGTACCAGCTGCGCTGGGGTCCGTAACCCACCACTGGTATGTGTGTATTGATTTGTTTAAAAAGGTATATAACTATGCAAGCATTGGTATATATTGATGAGTGAATATATATTTAAAATATCCTTACTAAGTTAAGGGTAACTAAGTACTAAGTTTAATGGAACTATTACTATTAAATCAGTTCATCAAACGTCTAGCATTTTCAAATGAATTATAAATCGATTAATTCTTTAAAAATAAGATAATATTGCTTTATATTCTTAGTATTGTTATTTATGGTGCCCTTTCTGCAATTGTGATTAGACCATCAGTTTCAATTATTATCTGTGTTGCAAGATTTAATTGCTTAGTAGTATCATAGTTCAAAATATTTTAGCCCTCTCTACTATGAAGGATATTTTGAGGGAACATAATTCTTCTCTGATAGCAAGTCCGAAGAGTAAGAGAGCTTGCTAAAAAGGAAGCATTATTTAGCACATGCCTCTATTGTGGAATTCCAAAATAACTGTTTGTTAATTTGTCTCTATGAACAAAGAAAGATTCCCACCTTTCAAGTGTTACAGAAGAAATAAAAAATCACTCTCTTCTTGGGAAGTATTCCATACCAGGAGATTTTATTTGTTTTCCAGTACAGTCTTCTCTGTTTGTTAGTTCTTCAAGCTAAATGGCTTCTTAAAAACCTCATTTAAATCACATTATTTTAGTTTTCCTGAAGCTAGTGCTCTATGGATGTGAGAAACAACTCCTACAATTCCCAGCAAGTATGACTAAAAGCACAAAAATCATCTACACTTCCTGACTTTATTCTGAAAAGGTCATTTCAAGCTGGGTTTGGTTAAAATGTAAACAATTTTGAGCCTTGAACGCTAAATTGCTTTCTTTTTAATGTATGAATATTTGAGGCAGTAAACCATGATCTGGCAATACATCATGGTCTTAAAATGCTTAAGGTCCATTTTCAACAACACTACTTGTGACTGTTCTACTGAAAACACTTGATCACAAGTTAGTTGTATGACTAATTTCTGTGGCAAGCAACTGTTAGAAATCTTGGCATTCACATAAAAAATTGAGTTTCTGGGAGAAAAAATTATTGAGTGAATGTTACTTGTTTAGTAATATTCTTCTGTTTTCTTAAATTATGTTTTTGTTCTCTTTCTATCTTACACATTAAATGTCCATGTATTAAAAATGGACGTTGAAGACAAAGATATGGACCTAGTAGATTGCATGGCACACACACATATTGTTAATTTATTTATTTGGATATTGGGATATGAAACCTCTTCATATAATTAACACACAAAGAAAAATCTAAAAATGTATTTCATTTATATTATTCCTTATTGCAACTGGTTTATCAGTAATGATCACTAATCATTATTGTAAACTTTGCTTCTATAACATGGGTGGAAAGAAGCACATTAGGATGGATGAGTAAATAGAGCCACAAGTTATTGATAAATTGTTTTTCATTTTGGCTCAAAGAACTTTGGAATATTGTGCTTTTGATGAAGTGAAGGTTTTCAAAAGGATTACAATTGTTGAGACACTTTGTGGAAATAAAAGCCCATATTGTTGGCACTAGATTTTTGATCACTTATAGAGTAATCCGTGGATATCCACAAATGCAGCATTTTGAAAATGAAATAACCAAATGTTGTTTATAAGAGGTTACAAATTCATATCCTTATGTGTTTTTCTAAATCAGAAAGGGGACCAAGATGTTAAAAGGAACGAGGGGGAGGAAGGTTAATTCATGCAATCTGTATGTGCAACTTTAAATTTTGAATTTTGTTTCAGAAGTAAGACTCTCAGCTTTAAATAAGACGTTATAAATATGTAATTATAAATTTCATCAATATTTGTGCTTTATTTCATAAAAGATAATTGTATACTATATATACTACTAAATGTATTATATATACAGCATTGACCAATATAGTAGTATATATATAGTATATATAGTATATCATTAATACTTATTAATTATTATTAGTTTAATAAGACAGTCTTAATTCTATTTTTGTATTGCTTTTTTTAATGGAGTAAATTTTAAAAAGTAACTACATATCCAAAAATGTTAGAGATCCAAAAAACTGTTACACATTACAGAAAATATTGATACACTTTTCTCTTTAAAATCTTCCTTCTTAAGTAATAATGAACTTCAATGTTAAAGTCTGATGCAGCCTGTTTTTGAGTTGCAACTTCAGTAAACAGTAAACCTAAAGTAGAGGCTTTAATAATTTTAATCTAACATAGTGGTACTACAGTTAATGTTACTGAAATAATCATTGACTTATATTGATCGTTCTGAACATAGAAATAAAATCAACAAAAGACCCTTTCTTACTGATCCAACATTGGATAAGTAACACAAAATTCCAACACTCTGCCTAGCCCAGTATTTGTACTTAATGGGGCATTACAAAAGTAGAGTGGCACTCCTTGTAAATTTGAAAATGCATTTTTCCAGGTTGATTTCATCCCATTAACTTTTAACAGTATAAATTTATATGACAAAGAAATTTACTGTACAAACAATTCATACTATAGTTTATGAATATGCATTCTGAGACTTTATTAAATTTTATTAATCTGCCACAAATACTTTGCTTGTAGACACAAGCCAAAACATTCACCTTAATTTGCTATTCCATTCACAAAACAAGATTATAATAACAATGGTCAACTGAACTTGAACTCAAGTTCCATTGGTAAATTTCTTCACTAATCCTCGTATGAGTCTTTAAAATATGATGACATGAGTCTGGAAAAATCTTGTGTAAATATTGTTTTCTAAATTTCTGTTTTGGAGTGCATGTGTGTGGCATGGAGGGGGCATTTTAAAGGAAACAACAAAGTAGGGTAGGTGAAATATTTTGCTTTCTCTTTCATTCCCCAAATAGACTATGGACAGATCTGGCCTGCAAAAATCCAATCAGCCATAAAATGGCAGCAAAGAGTTAGAGCAGCGATGGCGAACCTTTTTTGGCTCACGTGCCATAAGGGGGGGAGTGCAGGGAAGTTGTGTGCGGGCGTGCCACACCCATAATGCAACGTGCGACACCCTCCCCCAGCGCACATGCGTGCAAGAAAGGCACTCCCCCCATTTTTTCCATGCTTTTTTCGTCCTCCCAAATTTCCAGAGGCTTTATAGCAGCCTGGTGAGGGAAAAAACACCCCCCCCCCCCGGAGGCCCTCCAGAAGCTTCAGGGACTAAAAATGACCCTACGAGCAAACCGGAAGTGACTTCCGGTTTGCTTGTAGGGTCGTTTTTAGTTCTCCGGGGGATTCAGGAAAGCCTCCTGAAGGTCCCTGAAGCCTCCAGAGGGCTTAAACCGGCCTACGAGCAAACTGGAAGTCCGTTTCTGAACTTCTGGTTTGTCCATAGGGCCGGTTTTTGCACTCCAGAGTCTTCAGGGAAGCTCCTGAAGCCTCTGGAGGGCCTGTGGGGGGCGGGGACAGGGAGACTCTTTTCGCCCTTCCCATGCTCCTATAAAGCCCCTGGAACCTGGGGAGGGCAAAAAATGGCTTTAAAAAGGCTGAATTTAGCTGGCCAGTATGCGCATGCGTGCTGGCCGGCTGACAGGGTAACGCCAAGCGTGTCCTGACAAATGGCTCTGCGTGCCACCTGTGACACATCCCAGAGTTAGAGCCTTCTGTTAGAGCCTTCTGTATTACTAGCTGCTATCTAGTAATTACTGGTATCTGCTTTTTGGTACCCATGTCTAGTCCGCCTGGTTCATAGTGAAGAACATTGGGGCAATAAAAGTGATTCAATTAGTCTTCTATGACATGATTTCCCCCCCAGATATTTTGGGGTCTTTTTTCTGTAAATTCCTAGACAGCATAGACAAAGATAATATTGGCTTGAAGTGGTAGGCATCAGGTATGCTAAGAAGAGGAGCAAATGAGTGTTTGAAGCACTCATTTTAACAATGAGATTACAGAGTGAAGTTCAGTGAAGAAGTGAAGTAAAGCAGATGGAAGAAGTGATTAGAGTAAGCAAAGCAGAGATAAAACAATCAGAATAGAGCTTGAAGGGGCTTTAGAGATCTTCTAGTCCATCCCCTGCTCAAGTAGGAGATCCCATATCATTTCAGACAAGTGACTGTCCAGTCTCTTCTTAAAAACCTCCAATGATGCAGTACCTAAAACTTCTGATGGCAAGCTGTTCCACTGGTTAATTGTACCCACTGTTAAGAAGTTTCTCCTTAGTTCCAAATTGCTTCTATCCTAGATTAATTTCGATCCATTGTTTCTTGTCCTCCCTACAGGTGCTTTGGTAAACAAGTTGATCCCCTCTTCTTTGTGTCAACCTCTCAAATACTGGAATATTGCTATCATGTTACCCCTAGTCCTTCTTTTCTCTAGACTAGTCAAACCCAGAACCTGCAACTCTTCATATGTTTTAATCTCAGGCCTTTAATTGCCTTAGTTGCTCTTCTTTGCACTTTTTCCAAAGTCTCAACATCTTTTTTGTAATGTGGTGACCAAAATTAGTCTTGGCGTTACTAGGACTTTATAAAGTGGTACTAATACTTCATATGATTTTGATTCTATGCCTGTTTATATAATCAAGGATTGTATTAGTTTTTTTGGCTGCTGCCACACGCTGCTGGCTGGTATTTAAGTGATCGTCTACTAGGACTCTAACGTGTCTCTCACAATTATTGTTTTTGAGTTATGCTTCACCTAATCTGTATTTTTCCTGCCTAGGTATAAAACTTTGCTTTTCTCCACATTATATTTCATGTTATTGGATAGGGGCCATTGTTCAAATCTGTCAAGATATTTTTGCATCCAGAGCTTATCTTTTGGGGTGTTGGTCATTCCTACTAGCTTAGTGTCATCTGCAAATTTGATGAGTTCCCATTCTAATCCTTCATCTAAGTCATTTATGAATATATTGAAGAGACAGACCCCTGTGGCACCCCTCTGCTTACTTCCCTGCATGTAGCTGCAGTACCATCTGCTGCTGACGCTGTCTATCCCACATTTTTCTTGTGTTGCTGAAGCCTAGGTATATTATTTACTCAGCATTTCACTGGTCTACTAATTTAGTCAATTTGTCAAACAACGAAATAAGATTGGTTTGGCATGATCTGTTTTTAATAAACCTGTGCTGGCTTTAAGTTATAACTTTATTTGTTTCTTGATGTTCACAGATCTGTTTTTTAATTACCCTTTCCAGTATCTTCCCAGGTATTGATGTTAAGTTGATTGGTCTGTACTTTCCTGGATCTATTTTTTTAAAAGATGGGAACCACATTAGCTCCTTTCCAATCCTCAGGTAATTCTCAGATGTTTCAGGATTTTTGAAAGATATGGTACCATGTTAAAATCATTTCTTTTAAAGTTTAAGACACTTGCTATATTATGTTCTATTGCAAATTGTATTTGCATTATATTGTTTGCATTATATTGAATTTCAAGATAACTTAGTCATTCTCGCACAAAGTAATTTCAACTCCCTCTATCACTTTTTATTAGTAAGAATTAGCTCTAGTATAGCTTTTCCTCTGGTTCCCTCCTACACTTTTTAGGTGCAAAGTTGTCAGCTAAGTTTGTTAGGAATCTGTTTGATCTCCCACTTGCTGCAGAGTTTGTCTCCCAGTTGATATCAGGGTAATTAAAGTCTCCCATTACTATAGTGGTATATTTGCTACATTTGTTAGTATAGCAAAAAGTTCATATATTTCTTCTGCTTGGTTGGGTGGCCTGTGGTATACGCCTATTGCAATGTCATTCTTTTTTACTTTTATATTGACCCTTATAGATTATATGAAATTTTCATCCTTGGTTTTGTGGATTTCTGTAGAGATGTACTGATTTTTTATATATAATGCACCTCCTCTTTTGTTAGGTCTGATTCTTTTGAACAGTTTGTATCCTTCCATCAGTACATTGTAGTCAAGATTTTCATACCACCAGATTTCAGTAATTGCAATTATATCATTTTTACCTTCATATACTAGTATTTCAAGTTAACCTATTTGTTCCCCAAACTTTAAACATTCGGGCTTAGGCATGAGTCCTTTATGAATTTTGAGCATGTTTCTAATATCTCCTACTTTGTATCTGGCTTTTCTATTTCTTCTATCACTGTGTTTTTTCCTTCTCTTTCCTCTTCCTCTTCCTCTTTATTACCTACCTCCTTATATGATTATCTAGTGGTGGTTATCTAGTAGTTTTTGTTTGGAATCAGGTCTAAAGATCTTGAAGATTGCCCCCATACCGCCTCAATTTTAGTTTTAATTTTAGATATGACAAAAAGTTCAGTCGGAATCAGCTTAGTGGAGGTTATGAAGCTAATTTGAAGATTCTGCATATGGCAGTCTTCCTCAACCATGTGAAGATGTCAGGGTTGTCAGATATTACTATTTAGTCAAAGATCAAAAATATTTGTACTTTTCAGCTGATAGTGACTTCTCAGGCAGTGTTCTTATTTATTTTATCTGTGCCTAAATGTCAGTCTTGACTGACAGCGACTAGTCCAAAGTCACCCATCTGATTTCATACCTAAAATACAACCAGAGCTCATGATCCCCTGTGTTCCAACCCAGTGCCTTTAACCACTACACCAAACCAGTTCTCCTCTCACTGCAGGTAAATATATATGAGAGACAGTTTGATGTAATGATTAAGGCTAGAAAGTGGAAGATTGTGAGTACTAGTCTCACCTTAGCCATGAAAACCAACTTGGTGACCATGGGTCAGTTTCTGTCTTTCAGTTCAAATCACTTTACAGGGTGTTGTAGTGGAGAAAATAGGAGGAAGATGGGTGGATATGTTTGCTTTTTTGAGTTATTTGAGTTAAAAAAATAATAAAGGATGGATATAAACAAACAAACAAACTCAGTTGAAACTGGTTGTGAATGCCCCAACACTTCAAGTCTTTAAGAAGATGTTGGATAGCCATCTGTCTGAAATGGTATAGGGTTTCCTGCCTAGGCAGGGGGTTGGACTAGAAGACCTCCAAAGTCCCTTCCAACTCTGCTATTGTATTAATGGTAACAGATGGGGGAGTCCTCTTCATTTATTAAGTAAGCTGACTATTCAAAAACACATTCTTTTTGATTTAAAAAAAACCCACTGTCTATAAACATAAATAATCTTCGTTCAAAGTAAGTCACCCTGATAGCTTCTGGCTTGATCGAATAACAACCCTGGGTGGCAATATTCATTTACACTTGAAAAAGTCTTTCATAACTCACTCAAATTGGTTGCTGCTATTTGACCTTTGATTTTATGACATTTGTGAAGTATGACCAGAAGCTTTTTATTAAATTGGTTTTCCCCTCCAAAGCAGATTCTAGCAATTAACATTGTTGCCGATCAGCTTTATTCTCAATAAGATTTTTAAAAGGGGGTCTGATGTGTGAACATTTGCTTGCTTATTAAGAAATCTGTTCTCCTATTTTCTGAGTTTAAGTCATTTAATTCCAAGCAGTCCAAAGTGAACTGTTCTCAGTAGACTACTCCGCCCTCTTATAACTGAAAATGGAGACAGAAAACTGGGATAGCCATTGTCCTTAAAAGAGTTTTTGCAAATGTTTGTGACTAATGTGATGACTACTCTTTAGAACTTGGGCAGTTGTGGGTTTCAGCCATTTGTCAAGAGGGCCAAAGTGTGAGTTGCCAAGTCAAGATTATAAAAGAGTACAATTGCTGAGTTGTAAAGCAGGGAATAAAGCCTTATGTCTTGGACTTGGCAAGTCTTTACGGGAAATGAAAAAGAAGCTTGCTTGAATGTACTATGACTTCTGTTATTGGAAGTTGTTAAGTGGATCTTGAAGCAGAGGACATTAACTTTCACCCCCCAAAATTCATGCAACTAGAAGATCATTCAACTGTGCCACTTTTGAAAAAAGTTAAAATCTGCTACTGCCTCCAGCTGAAGCACTTACTGCATATAAAGGCATTCCCAGAAACCATATAAATAAGTAAGGAAGTAGGAAATATTCACCGGCAAAACCTTTAAAAAGGGTCATTTCATCCCACGTGAAGCTACGTAACTTTCCTAAAGATTAAGGAAAGTCTTCTTTTGCTCCATCTCTAACTAAATCTTCTTTGATCAGAACATGCACGGTTTCTTGCAAATACAGAACATATGTCCCTGTGAGAAGTTTTGTATTAGCCTTCTTTATAACATTTTTTCATCTACTGAAAACTTTTTAATGTTCACCGATTTTTTTAGCTTACAATTTCTTTCTTGTATGTGTGTATGTAGATGATGGTATATCTCCTTAATTGTTGGTATGATTTGCTTTATTTTATATGGATCACTAAATTTTGTAATTTAGTTACATTTATTATTAATTGTACTTTATCTCTAAAAGCTTATCTGAAGCACTTGTGTGTTTAACTGAAAAGTCAAAATAAAGGGATGCTGTGATTAAGATGTTGTACTGGAGATTCAACCTCCTTGTAAATCACGACATTTATAAGCTGGTATTATCAGTTACTCATTCTAATCTAGTTTGTTTCATGGTTGTTTTGAGGATTATCAGTATTCCTGCCAAGTAGGCAGAATATATCTATATTCTATAGATATATATTCTATATCTATAGAATATTATAGAATAGAATATTCTATTCTATAGATATATTATATTATATTCTATAAATACCTCTATGAAGTTACCGTATATCCCAAAAAAGTTGATTTAAATGAATACATTATTCATGACTAAATTTTCACATTCATTTTAATGAAACTGATGCAGTTAAAAAAATAGAGAACAAATTGTGGCACCTTTAGGATTAATTAATTTTATTCTATCATGAATCAATCCCATCATCAGACCCACAGATAACCTCATTTAAATCTATCAACGGTTAATGTCTTTTTGTTTGTGCCTTCAAGTCACTTCTATGCACGACTGCATATTTCTTGGAAAATCATAACAGTCATAGTTTTTCATTTCTCTCTTTTCATCAAACCTTGTGGTGGCACTTTTGTCTCCAGGGGACAAATCAAAAGCCCTCTGTATCCATTCACAGAGTATCATCAAATATGAATTGTGCATATCACATATATGTTGGAAACAACAAAATATTGGCAGTCAAGTACGTAAGTCAAAAGCAATTTTTAGTGAACCACAACCATAACATCCATAACAACTGTTGTGGGGGAAGATGATGCTTAATTAAAAAAACAGGTTGTTTTTTTAAACAAAAGTAACCTATTGGGACTTTTCTATAATTATGGAAAAACTGTAAGATTGTTGAACCCATATCAAAAAAGAAGTCTTATTCAGGGTCTTTCCATAAAACTATTTGTTATTTCTTTGAGGGTATAACCAGTATCATACAGGGGAACCTATTGCCTTGTTGTCTATGGAGATTCTCAGTCATCCAGATCATGATTGTCCCAAAGGTGCTTTTTGATGTTGCCTAGTTACCACTCTCTGTATCCTTTAACAGTAGCCAGTATATTTTCTAGGATTAATAGCCATATTTGGCAAGCTACGAGTCCCTCATTTTGGGCTTATAATTACTATCATCCCTAAAATCTTACATAGCACAAAGCTGCACTAAAATTCTTTTGTGGTAGCCTATATTCGAGATATAAAAAAAATATCATGCTTTAGATTAATCTTTCCTAATTTAGGCATTCTTAAAAGTCTCCTGTAAAATGCTTATTCATAACCTGCACAAGTAGATACCAGTTACCAAACCTATATCAGTTGCAGTTACCCTTCTGCATAGATGTGTGTTAAATCTTTACAGATTCAATGGCTTTCACCTTGAGGTCTCTTCTTGTCTCAGAAACTCTGTTGCAGTGTATGATGGCCCAAACATTGCTCCTTCACTACTTGGGAAATTCTGTGATGCAATCCTTCCTTCTCCTATTAAGAGTTCCTCAAACAACTTGCTGCTAGTATTTAGGGCAGATGCCTTTGGAGCTGCTGATGGATGGGAAGCCTCTTTCACAGAGACAATAGGTAAAATTATATTCATATGAAGAATTCCTAACATTCTAAATACAATCAACGGTTATAAAAGTGCTAACCTCTTAGTGGTTTCAGGGTCATCAGATTAAAGCAGTTGATCTATAGGCAATCTGCTGCACCAGGTAAGGAAAGGCAGAGAGAGACAATAAGAAGCGTCTAAAAAAATAAGTTGTGAGAGGGAAGGGATAGTATCCCCTGTCTTGTCTTTATTCCTATTCTACAAATAACATTTTTAAAAACAGAGAACAAAATGCAAAATAAAAGATATACATGCAATCTTTTGTTTGTTTTTCAAAATTCAAGTCCACAATAAATAGCTAGTTGCTAAAGGTGAGTGTCTTCCTGAGGGAAATAAATAAAAGGCCCTTACAGTCTTCTTAAGCCAAGGCCTTTAAAAGAAAAAGCTAAAATTTTAATGTTCTTTAAAGACTGAGAAGATGGGACCCAGACAAATCTCAGGATACTATTCCAGAGAGAGACAATAAGAAGCGTCTAAAAAAATAAGTTGTGAAAAATAAGAGGTCAAAAACTGCAGTAATGAGGGTCTGCTTGCTGGATCTTGCGACTAGAGGGCACCAGGGGTGGATTGCTGTCAGCATTACTGCCAGTTTGCAACCTGCATGCAACCTGCGCATGTGTGTTCAATGTAAATTTACAATGAACTGTGCATGCGCCGTCACCAAAATCCAAAATGGTGGCAGTCAAGCAGCAGCAAGAGAACCGGTTCTAGGGCGTTGCAGGCCTGGGTCGCTACCAGCCTGAATTCCATTATCAGTTCAGACGAACCAGCAACAACCCACCTCTGCAGGGCATTGCTTAATGAAGAGAACAAGAGAGTGCCAATTCTGCCAGATTATGCAGAAATCATGGGAAACAATTGATCCCTGTAACAACTAGGCCTTGTGCCATGTAGGGATTTAAAGGTGACAAGTAGTACCTTGCTCTGCAGTACCTTGAATCCAACTAATAAGCAATGAAACTTCAATGTTTCATAAGTGTGGCATGCTTGTCCATCACTGTTTGTGACACTGAATTCTGTATGAGCTATAATTTCCACATAGTTTTCAAAGGCAGCTCATATAGAGCAGATTCTTTATGAATGACCATAAGAAAGGATTTTCAGTTTTGGAAAGGCAGAAAATGTCACACCTTGAACATGTTCAAAGACCCTTATAACAGGTGATCATATTAAATAAGGAGAAGTGAGTATACTAACCCCAGGACACCCCACAAATTAAGAGTTGTGGGATGTCCTGCAGTATCGCAACCATTACACTTGACCAGCAGTATTTCCTACCAATAGTAACTGGAACTGGCCATGGACAGATGCGACATAAGGAGAATCCTGCAAAACTATGCTCCCATTCCTGCAGTTGGTCTAGAACCGTGATGGCGAAACTATGGCACACATGCCACAGGTGGCACACGGAGCCATTTGTCAGAGCATGTGAGGCGTGCACTGGCCAGCTGACTTCGGTCTTCTTTTGGGGCCATTTTTTGCCCTCTGGAGGCTTCCAGAGCATGAAAAACCAGCGCTATGGATAAATCAAAACTTCAGAATGTACTTCCGGTTTTCTTATGGGGCTGGTTTTAGCCCTCGGGAGCCTTCAGAGAAACCTCCTGAAGGCCCCGAAGGCTCTGGAGGGCTAAAACTGGCCCTAGGAGCAAGTTCGTTCTCGAACTTCCGGTTTACCCATAGTTTTTCACACTCCGGAAGCTTCAGGGAAGCTCCTGAAACCTTTAGAGGGCCTCCAGGGGGGCAGGGAGGCTGTTTTCACCCTCCCCAGGCTCCTATAAATCCTCTGGAGCCTGGGGAGGGCAAAAAAAGCATGCCAAAAATGGGGGGAGTGCTGGTCATGCGCACATGCGCGCTAGTGTCCTGCACATTGCATCATGGGTGTGTCATGCCCATGCACGACCCCCCTACGCTCCCCCCACTTTTGGCACGTGAGCCAAAAAAAGTTCTCCATCACTGGTCTAGAGGAACACCATGTTTAGTCATTCTCATTCTGGTTCTGCCACCAATCATTCATAAACAAACATGATCAATACTGTTTCTGTTCTAGCTTGAACCTGAAAGTCAACACATTCAGGTCTAAATAATCTGTTTCTTCAGAATCTTTGTAGGTGTAACCAAATCACCTTCTCATTACCAAATCATCAAAAAGAGGAGATTGAAGATAGGATAGAAGTTGCCTAATACATTCTTCTATCTATAAGAAAAGACTGTCAGGTATATACAATGGGATTAAGTACTGGATTACATATCAAATCATCATATTCAGATCAGAGGAAACTTATCTGAAGATCTTGCAGAAAACATCTTGCTGAAAAGCTTTATATTCAAGGAACATTTATTAGAACTAAGCCAATTTTTTGGATTTTTCTCTCATGAAGTAATGTTTATTCAGAATTTAAACATTAATTCTGGGTAACAATAATGGATCTATTTTCAATCCATCCTTTTGGTAATATATTAATATCAAAAATAATTAGCTGAAAATAACTATTGAAACAGCCTGAGATAATCCTATTAATTTAGAGTTTAGAGAAAGTAGTAGTTCTTAACTGATCCGTAACAATCTGTAAAGGAAACTCTCCAGATTTAATGACATAAAGCCTTTGTGGTGTAGCTGAACATAGCATTTCACTGAGTCATTGTAACTCAGCCTTTCCCCACCCCCACAGTTAGTAGCTGTTTCTAATTTCTATCAGACTGAAGTAGAAGGTAGCTTTCTAAATTTTTGATTTTTGCCAGTGTGATATTCTCACACAGGGGTGGGATTGAAAAATGTTAGCAACCGGTTCTCTGCCCAGTTGCTGGATTTGTGTGGCCATGGTGGGCGTGGCCTACTTGGCTCCTGCACTATGGTGATGGTGGGGAGTTTATACCCTCCCAAGACTCCAGAGGCTTTTCTCAAGCCTCCGGGAGAGCAAAAATGGCTTTCCCGGGCTCCAGAGATCCTTCGGAGGCCAAAAACCGCCCCCTTTTTAAAACTTCCAGTAGCCCCATTTTTCGCCCTCCCCAGGCTCCAGAATCACAGATACTACCTTTTGAATGGATGTTATTAAGCATTTTTTTTAATTTAGTGAGCCTTGAAAATACAGAATAAGGTTCCCCTTTTGCAGTGTGTCTTAATTGTATTTCCTCTGCATATGCTAAGGATACAACTTCCAGAACTTTTAGCTACCATGTGAGAGCCATGTGTATTTTTTGACAAGCAAAAGAAATGAACTATAATGACTAAACTGTTGCGACATCACCCAATCAACAACAGTTTGAGATTCTTTGTTGAACCATTTGTTTCTCATCTGCATTAATTTTTATTTTATTTTAAAAAGTCTGCTTAAATCTAAAACGGTTAAATCAAAACCTGGAATGTCGGTTTGAAACAAATCTGCAAAAGAACTCCCTTCAATCCTAAAAGCTTTTATTAGTAGTACAACATATGCTTAACAGGTCTGAAATGAAATTATTCACTAAAGTATAACCAGTGTGTTATTTAGTGACTGGAATATATTAGTAAAGGAACATTGAATCATCTGATTAAAGTATTCTGTTTAATGTTGTTGGTGATTCCAATGAACTATTGGAAGAGAAAAAACAGAAATGGCAAACTCATTTGTAGTAATCTAAGCACTGTTATGAAAAGGCCTCTCATCTTCATTAAGATCTTGACACAAACTATCTTACTTGAAATAATTATCTATGTTTTACCTATGGTACATCTTACTGAGATATAAATCATTTGTCAATTTTAAAGTAAATATTATTTTATTTAAAAAAAATAAGTAGTAGGATTGTGATTTTTCCCAAACCATGATCTTACTGCTTTATGCAAGAGCCTTATGGGTTATATTGGGAGCTTGCCAAGTACATACAATATTTTTCAGAGTATAAGACACACCTTTCCCAACCCTGAAAGAGGGTGGAAATATTGGTGCGTCTTATAGTCCAAAAGGTACGGTAGTCTACTTAGTGGAATTCTCAGGTTGCTTAAGTAGTCCTAGTGCAGCAAATTAATTAAACTTAATTAAATTATAAATTATATTGTCTTTTAATAATGCAATATATGTTTATCACTTTATTTGCAGAATACACTTCAATAGGAGATGATGGGCTGAATTCTGTTTCTACAAATCCATGTACACTTCTAATTGCATTCTTGAAATCATTTATTGATTGTGACTTAGCAGAAAACAAAGAGAAACTATGCTGGGTATTTCCCATCATTTAACCAATATACAGATTTTTGGGCTAGAGTTGCTGTTATTTTCTTTCTCCTTTTCATTCAAAATGGTCTTTTGTAATGCTTGAACTCTAGCCTTAAAAATGTGCCGGCATGTTAATTTTGAATACTGTCAAGAATCCAGATGTATTTGTGTCCATGGAGCTAATTGGAACTGCTTCTCCACCCTTTTCCTATTATAAAAAATTACTTTTGAGAGTCACATTTCCAGATGCTCATTCTCTGTGGGTTCCACCCTAATGTTTCCGTCTTCACTGCAACATCTCAAGAGAGCCCCCTGCTGTGGTATATTCACTGCACCAGTGTTTCTGAACCTTGGTAGCCTGAAAATGTATGGACTCCCAACTGCCACAATTTCCCTTCCTGCTTGGGGAATTTTGGGAGTTGAAGTCCACAGATCTTCAAACTGCCAAGGTTAAGAAACTCTGCTCAGAGTCTTGTTGTCCAAGTTTCTTAGTGGTCTTATGCAAATCCTTTCTATATAGAATCTGTATCTGCTTGTTGTATACAGGTTGTGAAGGAGCTAATGCAATGCAGTTCCTGCTCCTATCGATATCATAGCAATAACATAACAAGGAGTGTTATGAACACGCACGCACATACACAAACACACACACACACACAAACTTCAAGCATAAATTTTTTATTTCTAAGAATGATTTCAGGCCCTTTTTATTCCTAAAACACTCTTGAAATATTAATAATGATAAATGAGTGCTGGCCAGTAATTTCTTTGGATGTGTGCCCAGAACAAACACAGATAAATTGGAAAAATAGCATTGTGGGAGGATAGAGTATTAGGGAGCAATTTCTCACCTGTTTACTTTCAATTAAATGATTTGAATGTTTTGTCCCTCTTGGCAGCTATTTTCTGCCAGCCTTACCAAATACACCAGACAAGAAACATGACCAGATGAACTACCTCCATTTTACTGTAAAGCTACATTAAACTAATCTTGCAAGTCTAAAAATACTTCCCACCACCACCCTGTTTCCCCCTCTGTCCCTTTACTGTCCCCAAATTAAGGAGGGTCCCTCCTCTTGCTGTGTCTGCATTCCTGGTGTGGGTCCGGCTGCCTCTTATCTGACCAGTTCCTTGGCCATGTTGCTTTACCCCAATCTCACAAAATCATTCCCACAAACCATTGCATTTTCAGAAAATAATCTAACATGCTTTCAAATTTCTAAATCTATTTACTTAGCCAGAAAATATAGGAAAACCTTTGTAAAGGTCATTGCATTCCTGTAAAGCAAAAGGAATGCCTTTGTTTTTAACTTTAGGTAGTCATTTAATTAGATCTTATCTCACCTTCTATTGTGAATAAAAATTACCTGCAGGCAATCAGGTATAATATTGCAACTAAAATAAGAGTTCTTCCTCTGGCTCATTCTGATAACTATCACAACATTTTTCTTAAATAAATCTATATTCTAGCTCTGTGATAAAATGAAAAATGTGGATATGTACTAAGGCTAAGTTTCAATTTTGTGCATTATTTAAACAACTATGGTTAAAATATGGCTTAGTGCAATGGTGAGCCCAGCAATGGTTTGAAATATATCCCTGATTTGGATTATGCCAAAACAAAAATCAGTTTATGTATACCTATTTTGATATCAGTGTATAATTTTATGTTAAAGTCCTACAGTCTTTCTGATTCATGATAATCAAACAACATTCATTTTTGTTCCTGCATAGAAATGTAATAGCTTAATTTGCAACAGCTCTATAGACAAATTCCAGGAATTTATAGGAATGGTAGTCAAGAGAGAAAGAAACATCTCCTCCTACTGTTCAAAGATAGGAATTGTCTTGGAAGATCAAAGCTGTACTCAAAATTTTATATATATTTCCATTTATTATTCATGAATTCTGGTTTATTTGGCTAAGGAATCTTATGCTGAATGCCAGTTATCTCACTTCATGTAATAAGGAAATATAAGGAAATATTGATTGTGTTTGCTTTCAACACTGATACATTCCATGACTGCTATGAAAAAATCCTATTTTCTGGTGCTTTTTGTTCTCTCTTTGGGCCTTTCCCTATTACTGCACAGAAGAACTATTCACGCATATTCTGTTAGCATAAAATTATATATCAGTATGAAATTAGTTATACTACCTTTACTGAATTTGTTCCCTGCCAGTACCATGACTTTTATCCAAGTTAATGACGATAAAGCGTAACAGATTTTATCCCTTTAAGACTGTTCTTAGATGCTGTCAAAATAAAAAATAAACCTATTTTAATATCAAAACAGCCAAAGATAACTTAAGGCTATCTTACCCATGGACTATGGATGAGATGACATATCAGCAACATCATGGGAATGATGAAAAACGATGTTGACAGGCATATTTGATTAGATGCAAAGGAAAAAAGAATTTATAATTGTCAACCATTTACCAAAACTGAAAGAAAATGCTACATACCCGAAGGTACAGTTGCCCAAGAATAATCTTGTCATACTGATTGTTTAAAATTAATAAGCTCAGAGCAAAAATAGTGTAACATAAGAGCTTAAGAAAATAAACAGTAGCCTGCTGGATTGAACTCTTGGCGCATTTAGTCCAGCAGTCTGTTCTCAAGTAGCCAACACACTGGACAAGGAAACCCACTAATCTTGCAACAGATGGCCTTCAGTGTCAGTCACACTGCAGTCAATGCTCATTACTATGAGCATTGACTGCAGTGTGACTGACACTGAAGGCCCACTGTACTGCCATTTTTTTCCTTCCTCCACACATTCAAAATAATGACAATGTTCATGAATTATTTGGTTGCTTTTCGCTTGGCATCCAACCAATTTAACAATTGTTATACAAGCTCTAATTACTATGATGTGTAAACCAAAGCACTGTGTAAAAGGCATGCTTTTCATGCTAAACATTACCAATAAGAATAAAGTTACATTTGGTGTATGAGACTGAAAGTAATGATAAAAGTACGGTATCATTTAATGCAGCAATATGAAATATTACTAAAAGGTCATTTGGTTTTTAACAGGTCCTTGGCAAGGTTGTAATGCCCACTTGAGAAATGCAAGTTATAACTTCGGTTCTCTAGACTCTGACAAGGATGGGAAATATAATAAAGACGTAGAATGTGTGTGGGTTTTAGCTGCCCCCAATAAATAAATTGATCAACCTCACCTGTGAATCTTTTGAATTAGAAGCTGCAGCATCTTTTCAAAATTGCCAATATAATTATGTCAAGGTAAGATGATCCATACACCAGATAACAAAAAAAAATATCTATTTTTCTTTTCATTCCACAGCATATATTAGGGAGAAAGAGAATGTGTGAGTTACAAATAAATCTTTTTTTAAAATGTCAGAAAGATTAAAACTGAATTCAAAGGCAGCAAGCCAACAAGCAATTGCTAAGTGACTGCAAATGACTTTTTATGAAATAAAAAAAAAACCTCCGATTCCGCTCAGGTATACATACGCTGGCTTATGTTAAGATATGAATACGCTATTATGCTTGTGTATCCAGTTCTCATACAATCTTTTTTGAGTTGTTAAGGTTAATAAATCTTAGTTTTCATTATATCTCAAACAGAAAATAGACCAGAATTCTTAGTTATCCTTATCTTTTATTTATTAACCTCCAAGGCAACAAACAAAATACAGGTTATTTTAAAATCCTGGTACAAGAAACAGGTGATAATTTCCTGATTTAAATAAAACAGGACATTTCTTCTACATCTGTTACATTGAAAAGAGATCCATTTATTCATTGATCCAATTTTATTCAAATAATGCCATAAAAGCCTAATTTTATGTATTTCTGTCGTCTTTAGTTATATGATGGTAGTAATGAAGATGCCAATTTAGTTGGAATGTTCTGTGGCCCCAGATGTCCATTTATTTTCCTTTCTACTAATAACTTTTGACTGTTAATTTTGTCACTGATAGATTGTTAGAAAGAGGTTTCATTGCTACTACATTCAGTGGTGGGATTCAAGTAATTTAACAACTGGTTCTCTGCCCTGATGACTTTTTCCAACAGCCAGTTTGCCAAACTGCTCAGAAAATTAACAACCGGTTGTCCGAAGTGGTGTGAACTGGCTGAATCCCACCACTGGGCTATACTATTGTAGATAGTGTTATTTTAAATTTCTTCTAAAACAGTTTTTTGAATAAAGGATTAGTTTTTAATTTGAATAACTTCAGATAGTCTTAAAAATATAATCACTGAGAGTCTAAAAGTGAGTGATTAAGAAAAGTGAGTGATTAAGATTAATTTTTCTATTAAACATAGAAAAATATCCAGCTTGTACTTTTTCAAAGGTACATTGGAATGAAGAACAGTTGTGCCTGTGAAAGGCAGAGCTTAAAAATTTTCGATACAAATTTGCTGTAAATAATTTTGATGTGGCTTTTAGATTTTACTTTGTAACAGTGATTATTTTGTTTTATATCTGCATCTATCTTTCTTTTTCTTTTTTTCTTTCCTTTCTTTTTTAGTCATCTAGTCCTTTACACTGAAAATATTGTGCGTTGTGATATTTTTATTAATTTGTACAAACATACTGCACTTCCAAATCAATATTACTTTGGAATTACATTGTAAACTTCCAAAACATAGTATTATACTTACCAACTTGCTTTTCACATGCAAACTGCAGGATCCCCCTATTTTCCAAATGCATATCTACCACTCACATTCTGCCAATGTATAACTGATGCCCCTCCTAAGGGTTAAGCTAGCAGTGTTGAAATTCCAGCTTGAGCCCAGCCAAGATTGCACTCAGAATTATCTAGAGTTCCAGGATTTACCATCATTAAGTCAATCAGTCTTACTACCACAGTTACTAGAAATATTTTCTTTCATAGGTTGAAATGTTAATAAAAAGAAAACAAAGGTTTCCCTGTTAGTCATGTCTGGCTCTAGGACATTGTGCTCATCTTTGTGACTTGAATGAGGGAGTCAGTGTTGTCCAAAGACAATTTCCATGATCATGTGGCCAGTATGGCTATATGCCAAAAGCGCATGGAATGCTGTTACCTTCCCACCAGTGGTACCTATTTATCTCCTTGCATTTGCATGCTTTCCAGCTGCTCATTGGGCAGGATCTGAAGCAAATAAAGTAGCTCTCCCCATTGCACAGAGCTTGGGTGTCAAACCCAGACTCTTAGGTTTCCAGCTGAAAACCTCAGTGTTTTTATCCAGTGAACCATTGTGCCCCTGAAATATAACATATTTTTACCTTTATATTAAAGGTAAATTAAAAAGTAAAAATATGCTCAAATTAAACTTGTGCCTCAGTGATTTCATAGAAAATAGCTCTGCAGTATCTTAATGATACTATAGAAATGGTTTGCCATTAACTTATACCAGTTATTTTTTGCCTTACCAATTTAGTTCTCACCCCTGATGTTGTCCATGGTTTCCCTCTGAGATGATACTAGGCTCAATGCTACTTAGCTTCCATATGGTAGGCAAAGGCTGCCATCTGCTGAGACAAAGGTAGTTGAAGAAATGGTAATTCCAATCTGAGTTACTGTGATCCATGCCTTGCTTGCTATAACCTCCTCTTTGTTTAAAACTCTTCATTGGAAGGGCAGGGCAAAATTAAATCTGAATAAATGTGTATAACTTTTGTTAATAAATAACAGCCACGGGTAAATTCAAGCAGCCTTGAAAACAAGAAATTTAACTTTTCTTTCCTTGCCAAAATGTTAATGACCTCTCTGCTTTAAAGTGGCCAAAAGTTACCATTTGCTTTTTAAGGAAAACCTTCATTATGAGACATTTACTTGAAATGTAAACATCTAAGGATATACAGAATTTATCAATCCAGGAAAGACTATTCCAGAGAATTCCAGAATTTTTCCATCCTTGGTTTTATACACTGCTCTAGTCACTATGGGGACATGGTGGCTCGGTAGCTAAGACGCTGAGCTTGTCGATCAGAAAGGTCGACAGTTCGAATCCCTAGTGCCGCGTAACAGAGTGAGCTCCTGTTAGTTGTCCCAGCTTCTGCCAACCTAGCAGTCCGAAAGCATGTAAAAATGCAAGTAGAAAAATAGGGACCACCTTTGGTGTGAAGATAACAGTGTTCCGTGCACCTTCAGCACTTAGTCATGCCGGCCACATGACCACAGAGATGTCTTTGTACAGTACTGGCTCTTCAGCTTTGAAATGAAGATGAGCACTGCCCCCTAGAGTCATGAATGACTAGCACATATGTGCGAGGGGAACCTTTACTTTTAGTCACTGATGATGCTGACATCGATAAGATTAACAAATTACAAAAATGCTGCTTTCTCTGAACTGTGAACTTTGTCTCGGTTCTGGCATTCTACAGACAGTTCAGTACAAATTGCAGAGAAGTCCAAATTGCAAATAATTGAAGGTATCCTGGGGATGGTTCGTTTTTTTAAAATATCATTTAGAAGGAAACACATAAAAGACTATTGGATTTTAGAAACCACCAAACAATCCTCTGAAAGAAGCACGTCTGAAGAAGCAACATGATTCAGAAAGAAATAGAATCTTCTGGACTTTTCAGAGAATCGTCCATTAATAGATCAATGAAATTTTCACATCACTACAAACTGGCTGTTTTAAGAAATGGTATTTATCAGGGCCACAGTAAAATGGTAGAAAAATTAAACATTCTTTCCCAAGACTATTCATTTGTCATCAAATGCTTTCTTTTTACCTCTAGTTTGGCAGTAGTGATATGAAAAATAGACGCAAAAGTTTGGTGGCATTTTTTCCTAAACCTATAAAAATATACAAAGAATTCTGTCAAGACAATAAGAAATCCTTATCACTCTGGGAGGAATAATGACATTAATAAAGATTTCCTCACAGACATTTAGGTATTACCGTAGTAGAGGCAGAGAGAAAAATGGGATTTATCACTATTAATGTTCAACCTAGAAAAACTAATTTGTCCCTGGACTTAATGGGTTTTTAGTATATCCAATTTTATGTTAGTGACTTTTTAAATATATAGTTTAATGGGCAATTGGCAAAGACTCATAAAATCTTGACAGAAAAATGATTGGATGATTACACACACACACACACACACACACACACACACACACACACAAAACTAAAATAGGATAATGATAGTGATAGTGCCTGAGAGATTTTGTGAAAACACTCCTGTCGTGTTTGTGAAGAACAAAAATAAACATTACTATAGCAATAGAGGGCAATGTGAATTGAATTCTATTGAATTCTTTTATAAAGTTTCATCACTTTACATTTGTACCTCTGTCACATTTCAGGGCATTCAAGAGCATTCTGATTCTATCCACCGATTCTGCGCTTCCAACAACTTTATGATCCTAGATTTTTATTCTTACAGGCAAAGTGCCATTGTAATTTTTAGATCAGATGATTATATGATTAATAATGGATTCCAATTCACCTATCAAGCTTCATGTAAAATTACACAATTTCTTATGGATATTAGCTTCATTAGCATGGAGAAAACATTATTTGTCTGACATAAAATATGAATTTTTTTAAAAAAAAGGTTCGTGTTGTTGCTGCCCAGCATTCAGTGCCATACAGTGCAACAGGGTGGATGGTTGTCTTGTAAATCTTAGATTTAAGATGGACTGGTATTTGTATGTTATATAACACACCAGTGAGTTGACACCAATGCATGCAGGCTACATTTACCCTTGTTCGCACCTCGCCATTAATATTGCCATTGCCTTGGAAGTGGGATACCGAAAAATGTCCATCTTCTTTAGGTGTTCTCTATTAGAAACTATATAATGGGCCAGACAGTAGTTATCCATCCATTGGATCATACTGCGGATTGATAGTTTTTTACTTTTTCTGAATTTTTAGTGAAAGCCAATTTGGTACAGTGGTTAAGGTATCAGACTAGAAACTGGAAGAACAAGAGTTCTAGTCCTGCTTTAGACACAAAGCCAACTGGGTTACGTTTGTCAGACTTTTATTAGAACATTTAGTATTACATTGCAAATATTGAAAGAACAATGGAAAAGTTAAATATGTACTTGGGTACTGCATGGTGAATATAATTTCATTTATTCTTTATCTAAATTATCAACAACCTGTATTTAAATATCTTTAAAATATGTAAAGTGTCATAATGCATTATTCAGAAATATCAATAATTCTGACTCAAAGTGACATAATTAGAAGTCATGCTTTAAACCAAAATGGATCTCTGAAACATCTCTCAATCCAATACATGTTTATTCAAATCTAAGACTTTTTGCATATTACTTGGCCTGCTCCTTTGAAAGTCTTTTATTAATATGGATTAACTCACACCAAATTGATAAGCAGCATTACTTAAATAACAAATGAATCTAAATAACCCCAGAACACTTGTTTTTAGTTGTATTTTAATTTTTTTAAACACCCTAAAAATAGATTGTAATTTTTTTTGGGGACACTTTGGGTTCAACATATTGGAAAAAGTTTATCAAGGAATGACATTCCCTTTCATTGCACATCCACTGTATTTCCTTGAGTGATTCCATATGTACTGGCTTAGTTTTGGATTGATATCAGATTTGGATTCAAACTGATGCTTATTTTGGACAAGAAAAATAAATAAATAAGAGGATGCATTTATCTTTTACTGGCTTCTCTCTCCAACTAAAGTGGTTCCCTCTCTTATCAGGTAAAACCAAACATATCCCACACATTGCAATATTTGAAAAAACACTTCTGTAAATCACAGGTTTTGTAGTGACATCTAGTGGATATCTAGTGGAAACTTGCTAAAATTATTTTAGAATGAATTTCTATTGCAGTTTTAAAACTATATAGTTTATGACTTGGTATGGATCCACCCAATTGGGGCTTATTCAACAATTCTCTGCAGTTTTGAAGGTATACTTCAACTGTTGTTAAATATTGCAGGATTTTATTTTAACGTTTTATTTCCTATTAGAAGCAGCATTTATAGAAACTTGAATCTGGGTGACAAAAAATGTGTTGTGATATGCTGCAGACTGTTTAGTATCTCTGTGCAACATTGCAAAAGGAGTGTTATTTCACCATGAGCATAATTCTGTGTCCCAACAATATCTGGATGTTGCTGCACTTAAAGGTGAGAGGTGACTTAACAAGGCTTAGCTTTTAATACTTTTTAAAACAGTACTTTTTAAAAATAAAAGTACTTTAAATATTTTAAAATATGTTTACCTTAAATCAATGTGTGATGAGGGATGCACCCTCCCCATTAAGGTCTTGGCCAATCTATTCTACATAACAAAGATCTACCTCCTTCTGGCAGAGCCATAATAGGAATCCCAAAGGCCTTTCATTACATCATCACCCAGCAAGAGTTAACCAAGCTTGGGACTCAGAACAGTTACAGAGTTGGTCCTATAGGAGTCTGACAACCAATCAGAATGCAAGCTCTAATTCAAAAGCCCAGAGAGGGCATAAAACTCAGGCATTCTCAGCATCTCTCCCCTTTTTTTTTTCTTCGCCCAAAGAAAACAGGCATGTGGTCTTGGCATCCTTCAAGGCATGTGATCTTGTTCATCAATAAACCTTCTTTCAAAGCAACTTCCATGAATCCAGTGTCTTTTTCCACACTTGAAACTGGACCCAGAAGGATATTTCTTCCAACACTACATTTCTAAAGTAATTTAAATCATGATATAAAGTTGGAATGTTTCAGATCACAATCACAAACACTACTTGCATTTAAATTTTAGATTAGTTCAGGATCACTCTAAGAGCCTTTCTTGGTGGCAACATGGGATGACCTTGAAAAACTGGAACGAAAAAACCTAGGCCAGCGATGGCGAACCTTTTTTGGCTCACATGCCATAAAGGGGGGAGTGCAGGAGGGGTCATGTGTGGGTATGCCACACCCATAATGCAACGTGTGATGCCCCAAGTATGCATGCACACAAGAGGCGCTTTCCCATTTTTTGCATGCTTTTTTCGCCCTCCCCAGACTCCAGAGGCTTTATAGGAGCAATGGGAGGGCAAAAACAGCCTCCCTCCCCCCACAGGCCCTCCACAGGATTCAGGGACCTTTAGGAGGCTTCCCTGAAGCCTCCCGAGGACTAAAAAGGACCCTACGAGCAAACCATGTTATATCTGGGAGAACTCGGGTGGAGGGAAAGACTGAGGCAAGCCAGATCTCTTAATGCTAACAGTTTATTGCTAACAGGTTGCCAACACGGCATTTCACTATGCGTGCGTCTCAGCTAATGGCAATGCTGAGACCCTGTTTGAAGCTCTTTATATATGCCAACTGTCAAGCAGGAAACAATCATAACCGAGTATGGCACCCCCTAGTGGAACCAGGAAAACTGCCACACATAACACCTG